ACATTATGATAAATTTGAGGTATAGTTAAAAGATTATTTCGTTGAATATACTCTTTAATTTCAGACGAAACTGCAATCGATTGAGGTCGCGGATGTGTTAAATGGTGAACACGGATATAAGCTAGTTCGTGAGATTGTTTGATAGTAATAAGAACTGATCCCTCACATTCGTACCGAAGCAATCGGGGTTCAGTATTTCGTCGTTTGTTAATGTCCTCAATTTGAGGATTTTTAGGTTTTCTTTCATACTTGCAGTTGCAATAAAAAAGAAATGAAAAGCCGTCTCTCAGTTTATCACATGAATGATAAATATACATAAATCCATCAGCTTTCGAAATAAGTTTTATTATTTGACAGGCAATAAGTTTATTACTTTCATTTTCGTTTGTCGTTTCAATACGATCGATAAATGAATTAAGAAAGACGGCAATATTTATATTTAATTCTTGTTTGCATGGTTCAGCACTGTCGAAATCTTCATAAGGGTCCAGAAAATCTAAGAAAACATCTACAAGTTGATCTCGAGTATATGCAAGGTCTTGACATCGTTTTATTTCTTCATCTTCATTTTTCTTTGCCTTCTTCCGGTTCGTATTAATAATTGAGGTCCGGCACTTGTTACATGATGATACAGTTTTGTTATTCATTCCGATGAAGTTTTCTTTCCCGTACCAACCCCTGCAATGGTTGCACTTTTTTTTTTCACAATTAACATTCATCACGTTCAACAAGAAATGTAAAAAAAAGAGAGAGGTACAAGTGAAAAAGAACATGGAATGCCAGGGCAATTTTCATTATATATCGTTATTTAGTGATATGTAGAGTGATCTATTGAATAATTTAAAGTATTTACAGTATATTGATATCGATACATTGATGATCCATTGTGTCACGTGATCTGCGAAATTTTTTTGCCTGGCATTACTAGTCCCTTAGATTTACCTATAGGAATCACTAGTCAAATTAGGAAAAGCGTTGCCAAATTTCTTAATTTTTGGTTAGCAATTTTTCT